TGAATTTTTAGTTATAAATATTTATTGATTTCTTCGATCACGTGACATTCACGTGCCAAATTTAACGCATTTAGTAGTTACATTATTATAATAAATATATGCATAAATAATATATAATATACGTAACATATAAATAATAATAACAAATATAATAATAATAATAATAATAAATCTAAAAACTCCAGTAATCGCACCTTATTCTCGCGTTCCAACGCACTCAGCGATCTCTCTATCGCTTCACGTTGCATCGCCGTCTCACTGATCACAGCCTCCGCTTTACGTCTCTCAGCTTCTAGCTGGAAATTTCATAAAAAGTTACGAAAATTCATTAGAAATTCCAAAATTCCCGAAAAATTTTAACCAAAATTTCAAATTTTCACTAAAAATAATCCTCAACCCACAATTCCAATGCACTTTCTGAACAAAAACCCCAACAAAATACTGAAAATACTGCAAAATTAACAACACTCAATAAAAATTTCGAAAAAATTCCATTGAAATTTCAAAATTCCACCTGGAAATCCGTAAATTTTTTGGAAAAATACGTAAAAATTCGTAAAATTCCACTCACCAACTCGATTTTCTTCATCAAACTCAACTTCAATCGCGTCATCTCATCGAATTTCTCCTTAAATATTTTTTTATCCACTTCGAATTGAGCCAAACGACGTTTCGCCTCGTCCAATTCCGTTTGAACCGTCTTCTTATCCGATAGCGCCGAGCTCAATTGCTGACGGAGGTCGCTTTCGGTGGTACGGTACTGCGAAATGCTCTGAAGTTTGCATTAATAATTATTATTATTTGTTATTATTTATTATTTATCATTATATACTAGTTATTATTATATATTATTATATTTGCCGTTATGTAGTATTACTTACTATTGCATAGTGTTTATTACTATACAGTACTATTTACTATTACACAGTATTTATTATATAGTATTTTTTTTACTGTTATATGTTAAGAAAAAAGTCGAAAATTCCATCGAAAGAACCTTTTCCAAAGCGTAAATCTTGTCTGAGAGTCGGTTCTTCTCCGATTG